CTATCATTTCATGTTCTATCACCGGATGTTTGGATCAAAATATGAACCAATCAGATCTTAGAGACAGGCGTTTCCCGTCATCCCCTAGGTTTTGCAGCCGAGGGAGAGCAACTGCAGCGCCTTGCTCCAAAATCTGCGGCTGCCTTGATCTCACGAGGTTATCATTGCCTACGTAGGCATGACGTCAGAGCAAGTCAGCGTCAAGTCGGACACAAATCTAACCGGCATGCACTGCTCACCGATCACCGTTGATCTAATCTGTGCAGAACTGGCTTATCTCGAACACAGCCATTGGAATCTGTAATCATCACACCTGTTCCCTGTCTTCACTCACCACCTCAGCATTATTTAAACCCAGTTCTTAGCTCCTGGTCGGTTCCACGTGTTTGTGTTTTTGTTAGCGCCCCATGTTTTTGTGCTCCTGCTCCAGAGACTAATAACCTTTTGGATTTTTAACCTACGTGGCTGCCTCCTGGATTTCCTGCACTTGGGTCCTACAACAGCCTCCAATTCCATGACAATTAGGGACTATCAAAAGACAGAGATTTGCTGAAATAACACAAAAAATGTGTGTCCACACAAGTTTAGCGCTGTGTGTGTTGTAATACTTGTGAATCAATTCCTGGCACAACACATTGAGGCGAAGCTCAGTTTTTATTTGCTCAGTTGTGTGAGTTTGTCTATTTCTGACAAACCTCTGGAAAAGAAAACAAGCATTATTAAGGTGAATTTCCTTATTTGAGAGATGCAGAAATGTTTGTCAAATGCAGCTCATTCATTAGTTAGAAAAGCCAGGGTTGTGTTGGACAAGCCTGCTGTGTGATATTTGTTTTTTTAAGAGTTGGGGTTTGGTCCTCATCAGTCCTGTGTGCGACATTTTTCTTTGCAAGAGAACTGATGGGCTCAAGCTCTGAGATTAAAGAAAAGCTCCAGTGTCAATTGAATGACGCAATTTCCAGATATTTACCTTGTAATAAAAAATAGAAAGAAAACGCTGAGTGTGCAGACTGAGACTAAGGTATCCTTAGAAAGTTTGAAACTCATTACGTATGAGACCGGTCCCTAACACCGGTCTGCTAAACAGTGCTGCGCTGTGGATCTTACCCACAGACTCTAGATGCAACTAAAGCTTGAAAAAAAAGGATAAATCTTTAAGTGTTATATATGAATTACAAATGCATTAACTTATAATTGATTAGAGCCAGAAATTAAAGAACTTGCAAACGCATCCTCTTGCTTGTATTAGTGATGTTATCTGCAGACTGGAATCTCACATTTGCATAAATCTGAATAGAAATCAGGTCAAGCTAATCTTTATTTTGTTTATGACTTTATACAGGTGTAACGTGAGGAAGTATTACGCTACACAGGTGTATTTCTTTTCCTTGTTTCTCATTGGTCAAAGCTACAAACAGCTGCTTCTGGGCCCAGAGCTGCAGGTTGCCAAGTTCTGTTCTGATGTGTTTTCAGAAAGAACCTCTGGTCGAGAAGGCTTGTTGTTATGACCCAGGGGGTTCTGTTTAATCCAACGTGCTTGCACTTGAACTGTGTTCCTGTATGCATGAGTGTGTGTGTGTGTCAATATGAGCTAAGATTATTGTACCACTGGAAAGTACTTTTCTCATTTCATGAGTCATGTTTTGTTGGACCCAATTTAGTTCAGATTAGAATCGTTTGCTTCCCGTTTCCTGCTGGTCCTCGTAATTAAACCTGGTTCATATAATCTACAGGTCAGTTAATCGGCTTGGAAACAACCCTTACACAGCAATAAAGTTTGCCACTGCAAAGGAAAATCCCAGTCATTACTGTGAATATAAGTGTGTGTGTGTGTGTGTGTGTGTGTGTGTGTGTGTGTGTGTGTGTGTGTGTGTGTGTGTGTGTGTGTGTGTGTGTGTGTTACTTAGGACAAAATAAGGACACTGAGCAGGCTAGACAAATGTCATCTTTCTCTCCCTAATAGGCTCTCTTGCCATTCCAACTCTCTCCTCCGGTGGTGATCTCTGACAGAAACACAGCTGAAGGAGACGATGCACCACATGCAAACACACACACCATCTTAGGTGTGTGCGTGTGTGTGTGTGAGTGGGGCACTATAGATAGTTGATTGCATTTTCCATGCAGACTCTCTGGAAATGAATGCATGCTTTGGAACATTTAGGAAACTCTCTCTCTCTCTCTCTCTCTCTCTCACTCACACACACACACACACACACACACACACACACACACACACACACACACACACACACACACACACACACACACACACACACACACACACACACACACACACAGAGAGCTAATAGAGCCTGTAGACCAGTTGCCTGTGGTCAGAGGTCTGATCCAGTTAGCTTTGATCAAGATGATTCATCACCTTTTGGTTTTTAAGGCAGGATTTTACATCTCTGTAATTGTGAAGGAGGGTGTCCAATCAGCTGTTGCGGGTGAGTTCAATTAAAACTGACCGCTGTGCTCGCTGCTTAACTCAGAAGTTGGAGGAATAATTCACCTTTTGTGCATTTGTTTCTGCATTATCTTTCAGTAATTAAATATGTTACCTTATTTACTAAATATTTACAGTAAAACAGAAAATAATGATGAATTCCAGATAATCATGGATTACACCACTTTAATAACCTATTGTAAGATTTTGAGTATTATGATAAAGAGCACCTTTTTAATAATAATTGTAGCTTTATTTTTCATGTTTCATTACAGTCTAAAAATATTTAATATTTAAAAAAAATTAAATTACGAGTAACACTATCAGCAAGACATTATCACATTTTGTTACTCGATTAAAGTTGTTAATTGATCCTAAGGCAACGTGGGAGTAAAGTTAGAAGATGAGCAAAAGTAAATTTTAACCCACCTGTATGATCATACAAAACAAACAAACAAGCTATTTAGGAGGCATTAAAAGAGGTCAGAAACAGGGAGAGTGAAACATTATGATGATGATTGGATCTGGTCCTCCATTCAGCTCCCTGCCAGTGCCAATAACTAAGAGGTGGATGCAATGGTTGGGGGGAGGAGCAGGGGTGTGTGGAGATGGTGGATTTTGACTGTAATGGAGTCGAGACCCCTAACAGGCTGTCAGACGCTGGTCATTTACTGTGCAGCCATGCCTCACAAACAGGCATGTGTGTACGTGTGTGTGTGTGTGTGTGTGTGTGTGTGTGTGTGTGTGTGTGTGTGTGTGTGTGTGTGTGTGCCCCAGTAATAAATATTAATTACACAACAGAGTGCAGGCCATGAGCCATCCCATCTCACCATGCCCAACCTCATAAACAGCAATGAAGACTGCTAGAGAGGGACACATCGGCAGTAATAAAATATTTGAATCACAGAAAATGTGTTAGTTGATGTTAAAGAAGATTTTTTTTTTCATCCAGAAACTAATAATATTTCAGTTTTTTTTTTATCTTGGCTTTGCCACCAGACTTTATACTTTGATCGAATCTAGGGTCTGGTCCTGAAACTGTTGAGTGGCTCTAGTTCATGTCCGGAGAAACAGGCGGATGAATACAGAGTTATATAGCATGACAGAGAAAGAATTAGCTGGTGGGGGGCTGTTTGGTTGAGGCCTGCTGAGTCATCATAGAAAGGGTGATCTGAAAAAGCAGCCCCCCTCAGACCTGCAGAGTAATGGTTAATCATAGGAAGTCTGGTGTCAGGGTAAGTGTGCAGGCATGGCCTGATTGTGGATGGTTGCGGTGGGTTTTGGCGTGCCTTGGTGTGACAGGGCCAGTCAGGCGGATGGGGCCGATGTTGTTGTAGTTGGGACTGTGGGGAAAGCCCTGTGAAAGCAGCTCTCAGCTTTGTTGACTGGGAGAGGAGCTGTAGTGGCTCTCCCAGAGCAAAGAGCAACAAAACAAAAAGGATTTGTTGTTTTGTTTTTGCTGCAGTCGTGTCTCCTCTGCTGCTGGACTGGTTGTCTGCTCTACCTGCCTTCCTGAGTCGTTTGTGAGGTTTTGTCCTCACCTTGACTCCTGGTGTTGACGCAAAACCTTCGCATGGGCTCTGCTGCGATGTGGAATTACTACACCTGACCTATATTGTGCTGTGGTGAAAGATTTGCATATTAATACCAGAGGGTGAATATCCCACAGAGAGTCCGAAAAAAAACCCAACATCAAACAAAAAGCTGCAGGTTATTGTTTTGAGTCAAATGCATTTAAATTCCATAAAGTACAGGAACACAGCAGTACACATATAATATTGGTATTTGTTGCCTTACTTTTGCAAAAATTGAGAAATTCTAAACTTACTGGTCACTCATTAGCATCTGCTTTTTTATTAATTACTATTTTATAAATAACATTAACAATTTAAGCGTCTACTTTATGTGTGAAAGAGAAAATAGCTTTTTCTATGCTGGATCTGTGCTTTCCTGTGGTTCTCCTGTGTGATTCTGGTCATGATGAAGGCAGGATAATTGATTCCAGTTAGTTTCCCTGTCACTCAGAGCAGCAGCAGATGCAATTTTATAAGTTCTCTCTGAGACAGTGTGCATTAACTCACAAATACCCAGACCCTTTTGGCACTTTATAGAATTAATGTGCGCACATATTGTGCTTTCTTTCCCCTCACATGCTCAACTGGCTGCACATCTGAGTATCTGAGGATGAGAACTCTGACATAATTTACTGCCTCGGTGCATTTAGCATTCACTTTCTCTTTTCTCAACCTTTCTTCTGATCTGATTTGAGCTCAGTAACAGAAAAAAACACTTGTTGTTTTTAGTGTTGGTGTTGTTGGTGCAACTGGGTACTTAGTGTTGTGTTTGTGTAACCTTGATTTCAGCTCTTAAAGCAGATTTTAATGTACAATTAACATAATTTGCTAGTTTTTACCTGAGTACCTCTTATTTATTCTGCTGTTTGCAAATGTCAAAATCTGAGCAATGAGGAAACCCAGAACCAGCTTCTTTCTTTCTTCATCCTCATTTGGCAGGTTGTTTTATTTAACTGACTGAATGTTTCTCTTTTCCCCTGCAGGCACAGAAATCATGGATAGAAAGAGCATTCAGCAAGAGAGAATGTGTTCATATCATAGTGAGTGCCAAAGACCCTCATAGGTGAGTAAAAATACAAACAAAGATGTGAAATAGCAATAGCAAATACACTATTGTGGATTGGATATGTGACGGTAATGGTGGCAGCATATCTCAGAATAGCGCTACACCCTCTGTTGTCCTGGCAGGGAATTGTTTTGTAACACTCCCCAGCCGACGAAGAAGTCTGAAAGCAGAATGTCTGTCAATGTGTGTGCATCTCTCCCTCACGGAGCTGATGGAGAAGTATAAATTAGGCTTTAGGGAGGTCCTTTACTGAGAAAACACATTTTAATTATTATCTTTGATTATAATCGATCACTGTAAATTTTTCATGCAGGCTGAACATGAAAATATCTCCTACACCTATCTCCTGCATTAGCTTCTGATAGAAAATAAACAGTGAAAGGCTAGGATTAGAAAAGCCTAACAGATCCACATCACACTGTCACTCACCCATTTTCACTCACGACGGGGAAGGCCGTTGTTGGTTTAGCATCCAGAAATCAGCAGAGAACGCCTTGACTAGTAGAAGCTAACTGTTAGCATTAGCAACTCTACCACACTGCAGAATTCTTTCAGGCTTGTGTTGTTTGTGGAGATAAAACATCAGTATCGCAGAGCAAATGGAGTCAGTGGTAAAGTCGCATTGCTGTAAGCCAATCAGAGGAGAGATGTCTAAATATCAGGAAATGAGTCCAAATCCTCTAAAGCTACTTTCTCCTCTGCCTGAATTCTCCAACAGGCGCTTCGGGGCTGTTTTCCCCCAGAGTACGACTTACAAGGCAGTCATTCCTACTAGAGACCACTGCAAATGTGTTAAAAATATCAGTGAAGGACTTCTTTAATGCCTCTTCCTCCATAATAATCACGAGTTCTTGTCCAACACAAAATCAACTTTCTTTAAAATTCAGTTTTAAGAAACCTATTTTGGAGCCTCCTACCTTTCTAATAAAAAAACAATGATTTAATTGTTAATTGTTACAGCTTTTCATCCTCTGTTCTACACTTTGTGTCATTTGATTCAGTAACTTTTATCTGTTCTCTCTCTTATCTCTGGACTCATTGTACAGATTAATAGAGTCTTTGGCGAGTTTTGTTTAGAAACAGCCAAAGTTGTTGTTGGTGTCGTCTCCCTGTTGAGCTGACCTCATTTAGTTTTTCTTTTTCTTTTTAACTGTTTGATACTGACCCAAACTTTTGACCTGTTTTGATAACCAAAAGAGACAAACAAATCCTCTATTGTGCATGATGAGTTGCACAAATGTCCCCAAGAAACATGGCAACCTCTGAGCGACATGTAGTCATGTGATCTGAGAGAAGCCTGAAAAGGTTAGTTTCTATGACTTTGTTTTCATTAAAGTTATGTGATGCTTTGTTCTCATTTTACAAAAACTATTTTCACTGTAGATGTCTCATGTTTAGATTTTTCACAATGACCCAATTTTCAATAACTGAGCAGCACCAAAAACATTTCTACAGCAGGTAATCACTGTCAGTCTAAAAAAATGGAACGATCACAAACTGATCACGATAACTCACAAAGACGGCAGGATTCTAGCTGATTAGCTTTGAGCACAGTTTCAGGAGTTTAGATGTTGGGGTAAAAAAATGACAGTTAGCTCCTGTTAGTTATGTAAACAAAATTAGCATAACTGGACAAAAAACTGGGGGGTGGGGGGGGTATCAGTGGCTCAATTCTCTGGACAATCTAGGGGTGGGAGGTGGGCGGGTACAGATGAGGAAATGTGTGGCAGAAGAGTCGGGAGGGAGGAGGAGGGCCAGGTTAGGGATTGTTGTACAACTAGCATCACTGGGTGTTTCTCAATGTCAAGGAACCTCGCCAAGGTTACACCCCGGCTGCCTAGAAGATATGTCATGAGGAACCGCCAAAGTGTGTTCATGTTCATGTTCTACGGATGTCCTCCGTTTGCCGCTTAGCTAACTGACCCAGAATAAATGGGAGGTGCCATATTACCCTCCTTCAGTCAACAAGTTCCCAGACTACACACACGTCATGTGACGTGTGAGGTAAGTCGGTTCCCTCTAACCGTTTTCTTTGACCAAGGAAGGACAGTGTCCTTGTAAGCAAGGTGCCTTGACATTGAGAACCACCAACCATCTTAAGCTTGGTTTATGCTTGACGCATTCACTTTCCGCTTGGTGATGCGGCTCGCAGCTGGAACGTGCTTCACAACTCGCAGCGTTTGTGGTTCGTGCGGCTTGTCTCTGCGGTGAGCCAATATTCTCCCAAATTGAACGGGGCAGCATGGAGCTCTAACGGCATGCATCCAACACTACACCATAGTAGAAGTAGAAATTACTGTTTACAACACGGCATTCCAGCATTTTTAACAGCGTCCTCGTCTTTTCTGACAGTGCGAGCTATTTCTCTCCAAGCATTATTAACAACATGTTGATCACGGTGATCTTTGAGAGCTGAATCATACAAATGTCTGTATTTACGAACCTCTGCCGTACTAGTTCTTGCCAGTCTGCCATGTTTTTCCACGTCCGACCGTCCGCGTGGTTAGAAATTTTCCTAGGTGCGCGTTGCGGAAATTTTGGGCTGTGCGGAGGCGCGGTGGAGGGGCGTGGTTGTTAAAATGACGCAATTTCGCCGCACAGAGCCGTGCGGACCTCGCGGACGCGTCAAGCATAAACCAACCTTTACTGATGTTGTGATTCTGTCTTTAAAGTTTGTTGGCCCTCAGGAGCCCCCTTGTGGCCTGGGGGCCCCAAGCAATTGCCCCCCTCCCCCTGCTTGCCGGCACGCGGCACCACTGGATGAAGTTTAAAAAAAACACCCTCTTTAATAAAAAAATGTGCTTGTTCTTTTCTCTCAAAAACACGTGCTTCTGCTTAAGATTGTTTAGTTTTAGTTGATGGAAACAAGGGAAAATGAAAGCCTTCCAAACCTTCTCTTCTGAAGACTTCAACTCCAACATGTAAGGCTGAAACTGAAAATAGAAAACCAGCATTCCCCACATTTCAACGAGCATCTCCTCATGTAGAATATTATGTGACTGTCATTCTACCAAGCCATCTTGTGGCTGAGATGGAGAGAGAGAGCATGGATAGACAGAAAAAGAGGCAGATGTTTAAAAAGAAGGAAAAAATAAAGAGACAGATTTGATGAAGTTCTGCATAGGCCTGCAAACACTTCTCCTCCCTCCCTCCCAATAAGAAGATGAAAGTGAGATGACAAGCTGCCACTTCATCCTTGCCCACCTCTTACACACGATTTTGGCAGCTTTCTCACTCTTTTCTCTGCCACTCTCAGCCACACACAGCCTCCTTCTCTCACCTTCCCACTTCTTCTTGTCACACTCGCCTTGTTTTGGTGCTCAAGCCTTTCAACATTTCATCTGTTCTTTGTTAAGCCAGCTTCAGTTCACACGTGTTTTCTTCCTCTCGTGCAGATGCTGCTGTGGTCGTCTCATAGGTCAGCATGTGGGTTTACCGCCCGGCATCTCGTCCAGTCAGAATGACAAGGCAGAGCGTTTGGCCAAGAATGACAGCTTGTCGGAGAAGTGGTCGATCAGCAAACACACGCAGCTCAGTCCCACTGATGCCTTTGGCACCATTGAGTTCCAGGGAGGAGGACACTCCAATAAAGCCATGGTGACTCTCCAATAATTAGCATTTCTTCATTTTCCTTCTCATTACAGACTTGAAACATGCACCTCATGAATAACCTAATCGGGGTGGGTGCTGGCAAATTTAGCGCCAACATCTTACAGCATGAAAGGTGACACAAACATTTTCAGTTTGTCAATGGCAGAACAATAAATTACCCTCTAAGGCAATCGCAGACAGAATACCGCTTATTACAGCAGGAACTTGTATAAAAGTGGCATTTAATTGCCACTATTAAAGCAATGTTTGTTGGCTGCACCAATGCTAAATAACAAACTACACAACTGCTTAAATTGTTGCAGCATGGCGAACATCAAAAAATGTATTACAAATGACCAACAAGTCATTCTTTTTTTTTTTTTACAAGCAATGACTGCTAGGTTGCTACTTTTCTAACTTCTTATAGAATCCATGCAAATTCTAGCTTGTACTTATAGGAACAACAAGAAAAAACTTGGTTTCTGTTGTGTAATTTTGATTTCTGCCCTTGATGCTCTTGTTTAAATCCTGTGCACATCCGCACAATGCTGAAAGGCAAGAACCCCGTCTCCAGCCATAATCCAGAGCTGTATCTCAGTGATTTAAGCTAACAAAATACAACTTAGGGATGTAGATACTACTACTTTAGACCAACATGTCAAAGCTAACGGTGTTTAGCACAAAGCTTCCAGATCCGTTTGAAATAGCTAACGAGTTGTGTGAAAGAGAGTCCCCCTCAGAAACGGCAGCCTGGACATCGCATAGCTGAAGCAACGAAGGTGTAACCAATCTCTTCTACATTTTGCGGATTCATGCTGAAGGATCGTGACACTTTGTCTGCCACGATGTGGGTGGTTTATCCACTAGAACTTTCTACATGGCCGTTAACCATTGCCTTTGAAATATTTTATCAGCTGTAAACCTGTTAAACTTAACTTTGCGGTCACACACTTTTCATTCTCCTTCCTCATCTTGAGCTTGAGGTTTACAGACTGACATTAATTCAATGCGGGTCAAGTTCAAGCTAGGTTAGTGTGCAAATCTGACTGAAACAATTGTGTCACCCTGTAATGAATGTGGGATATCAAATCAACTCGCCTTTATTTATATAGCCCTTTTCATACAAAAAAAAATGCAACTCAAAAGTGCTTCACAGATTAAAATGGCCCCATAGATCCCATATTCCCATCCCATCCCCCCTCCCCAAGTATAAAACAATTGACAATTACACTTCCCCTCCCGCAACCAATTTCCAAGGTGAATGTACACTCACCCACACGCTCGCACACTCGCGCGCGCGCGCGCGCACACACACACACACACACACACACACACACACACACACACACACACACACACACACGAACAACAGAGTAAACAATAGGCTGAGTTCAGATGGGTCAAGTAATGGACGACACATCATCAGCGGAGCCATCTGCCTCGACAGCGACAGATCCACGGCAGCAGCCAAGACACTGGCCAATTGACGCCCAGGGAGGGAGGGCGGAGACCCCCACCACTGCCCGGGCACTACCCGAGGAGAGCCACGGCCGCCGCCGCCGACCACCGGCCCCAAGGCAGAGGGCTCCGCAGAGGAAACACTGGAGGATTAAAATATATAACATGTAAAATAACAAAAGCTAATATGGATAGAAAGTAACTGATAAAAAGTGATTATAAAGATAGTAAAAGAAAACATAATCATATAAAAACACTAAGATGTAAATAAAATAATAAAATTAAGTAAAAGAGATAAATAGGTATGTATATAAATAAACAAATACGACAAGCGATACAGTTAGACTACATAAATAGTAATCAGTTAAAAGCTAAGCTAAAAAGGTGGGTCTTGAGCCTATTTTTAAAAGCCTGGACGTTCCCTTCGGCCCTGAGGTCGTCCTGCAGCCTGTTCCAAAGGCGAGGGCCGTAATACTTGAAGGACGCCTCGCCGTGGGTGTGTGTCTTAACTTTAGGGATAACTAGGAGACGGCTGCCAGAGGAATGCAGAGACCGCAAAGGTTTAATATAGTAAAAGCAGTTCTGAAAGATAAGAAGGCCCGAGACCATTAAGACACTTAAAAACCCTTAAAAGAACCTTAAAATCGATCCTGAAACATACGGGGAGCCAGTGCAGTGATTCTAAAACTGGAGTGATGTGCTCCTGCTTCCTGGTCTTCATCAGGACACGTGCTGCTGAGTTTTGTAAAAGTTGTAAACCTGAGATGCTCTTTTTGGGAAGACCAGAAAGCAGGGCATTACAGTAATCAGTTCTACTGGTTATGAAAGCATGCATCAGCAGATATGCGGCACACTGTCAGTGATGGACAACTCCCTGGTGTGGACGCGCAACTCTATTGGTCAACTCAACTGTGGCTAAATTTAGCTCATCACCACCCGGATGTAAATGTGTGTGTGAATGGGTGAAGGACTGATTGTGTTGTAAAGCACTTTGGGGGGATCCAGGACAACAGCGCTTTATCAAACACAGGCCATTTACCATTTAAAGAACAGGTCAATTTTAAGCATGCTAATTTTCTTAAGCATTTAAACTACCATATGTACACCAGCTTTTATTGGTCAATTGTAATATTTTATAACTGTTCAAATACAAAACAAAAATGTCTTTGAGGACTGATGAGTTTCTACACTTCCCATCTGACCCTCTAGCAAAAAACAAAATCCTACTGGAATCCATCTTAATAAACATCAAAATCAATCAAATTACATTCAACATCTTGAATACAGCAAACTGATTTATCATTAAAGCCGGCCTTACATTTTATCAAGCATTCTTTTCCATGAAGATGTACCTACTGTGGTATTCTGGGAATTAAAAGCATTAACTTTGATTTAAGTGAGATTTATTCCCAGTGTTAAATTATTCATTAACACCGATGCCAGTTTGGGCTTCTGAGGGTGTTTTTGATGGATAAACAGATGCTCCATGTCGCACGTGGTTCTTCAATCATAACAAACATCTGTCCAATATGTTTTGTAGCCTGGAATTAGAATACCACATGCTGAGGCAGGTCCAAAACACGGAGCCTGGTGAAAACTTTTACTGTAACAATTTCATTTTCCCTTCTGTCATCTATTTTATGTAATATTTTACCATACAGTGCGTGCATTTCTGTTTAAAGTGCATTCTGTGCTGTATTTCCAGTATGTGCGAGTGTCTTATGACACAAAGCCTGACCTGCTGCTGCACCTGATGACCAAGGAGTGGCAGCTGGATCTTCCCAAGCTGCTCATCTCAGTCCATGGAGGCCTACAGAACTTTGAATTACAGCCTAAGCTCAAGCAGGTCTTTGGCAAAGGGCTCATCAAAGCTGCCATGACAACAGGAGCTTGGATATTCACAGGAGGAGTTAACACAGGTACATCACAGGAAACACAGGACCAGTAGACTTTAAAGATAAACAGAAACAGCCATCTGTTTAGCAAATAAAACTTGGATTAACAATCATTGAAACATAAATTATTATTATTATTATTATTATTATTATTATTATTATTTATTACTTATAAATAAATTGATGCATACAGTTGTGTTTTTAATTAAATACATTTTTAGAACATTGTTTCAAGTCAGTCTGACAATGTGCAAAAAATATGGGAGAATTATCATATAAGTGGCACAATTTGCACACACACACACACACACACACACACACACACACACACACACACACACACACACACACACACACACGCGCACACACACACACACACACACACACATGCACGCACCCAAAAACAGTAAGAATGTCTACAGTTATTCATGTTTCTCATTTCAAAACAACGTTTTCAACTCCAGGTTGGAGGAGATGTACCTGTACTATCTCAGTAGGAGGAGTTTATGTATATCAAGGTCTTATTTGTGAGTGAAGGTTAGAGGCAGATCAGAGAAGTGGTGTGGACGCTGATCCAGTCTGTTGTTCTGAAGAGCAGCAAAGCTCCCAAATGCAATCCTCACCCACAGTCATGAGCTTTGTGTGTTGACTCAAAGAACCAGATTGATAATGAAAGTGGCTAAAATACGTATTTTGTTTATTTATTTTTTTGCAAATTCAGAGATAAAAAGATCTCAGACATTCAGAATAGACCTTAAGAAGAGCTGTTACTATTCCTTGTTGAGAAGAGCCAAGTGACGTATTCTGAGCATTTGGTCAAGAAACCCCCTAGATGCTTCCCAGTGAAGGTGTTGCATTCATGAGGTGCCCGGGGAATACGAGGACATCCAGGATGGATGCTATCTCCAGGCTGGCCTGGGAATGCCTTTGAATCCCAATGGAGAAGTTGGCAGAAGAGGCTCAGGAATGGACAGTCTAGTAGGTGTCCCTGATAGGGCTGCTGCCTGAGTGACCCAGACACAGATAAGCCAAAAGAGAAAAGACTTGAGATACTTGGTTAAGTTATTGTTGTCTCTGTTTATCTTCTATGGTGAACTGTCACTCTTTGGCCAAATTCCTTGTGTTTATTGAGTGCAATAGATTTCTGTTTTCTAAGTGAATAAAAAAATCTATAGGTATCACCTGCAGCAGACATCAATAAAATCTCTAGGTTATAAAATCTGGGATGGATTCCCAGATCGAGCTAAAGTCTCAGACCAGGAGTCCATTCCTGATCCATCAAAGGCTGAATTCTTACCATCTAAAAAAACTCTTAACTCTAAATTTTGGAAGAAGTTTGGTTGAGAACTATTTTTGAAACCCTTGGGTAAATAACTTTGTTCAGCTTAGTTAGGGTGGGTGCTCTAAACCCAAGTTCAGGAGTTTATAACCAAAACCTCGAAGTTTAATGATTTTGCTCATTGCTGTAAAGTCGTTGTTTTATTTTGCCGTTGATATGCTCCATTCTTTGAAACTATCTTTTTGAGATGCAACTGACAGCAAATGTGCACACGGGCACATTCTGTAGCCTCGGCACAAGTAGCAACGCTCAGCAATGCAGCTGTTGCTGTTTTAATAACAATAGTAGCACTTCCACCTGTTTTATGTAAAATAACGAGTATGAAGATTCAGGAAATAAATAGGATTGGACACCTCTGAGTGGAGTTGGTTCAGGATACTTAAAGTCGCATCACTTAGCATCACTTTGATAAACACATTTCGATAATTACTTTTACTATTGCTCTGATCTACTTACAGCCACTCCACACATTTTTTTGAAACATTGAGAAGCTGACTCAGGTTGGCAGCACATGATGAATTATGATAAAAATTATTAATATTAGAAAGCAACTCTACATGTTTTTTGCATGGAGATAAAAAAGGAAAAATTATAATGAAGGTGTTCTGTTGCATTTGTCTAAGAAGATCCACCAATAACACGGCTTGGTCCAAAACCAATGACAGGACATCTGGTTCTCTGTCTCACCTGACCGCTGCACATTTACTTGGGTCCTTACGCGCTCACACATTTTGTAACAGAACACCACTGGCTCAGTAACATCAGAGAAGGAGAAACAGTCAGCTGCTACCACTTCAGTTTTAAGACAAACTACCAGTCCCAAAAAGAAAAACACCATCTGAAGTCACAGGCCACAAAAGACATTTGGACATAGAAAACAGCAACTGGTGATTAGCGCTCTCTCGTTTACTCTGACAATGTGCATTCCCTAAACAGGGGTGTGTGGCCTATAGGGATGGGTGAGTGTTTAAAACTAGCTTGTTTTGTAGATTTGCCTTTGCAGCTTTATTTGTGGGATCAGATCTATGAACACATATAATTTTGATTATGACACAATTGTTTTCACACTTTAGATGATCCACATCATAATTCTTCAGTCATCTTTGCTAACATCGCCTCTCTTTGTCCTCAGTTAAGGAGATCACAGCAGCTTCTGTCCTCTCATCATTTCTAAGTCACAACCATAGACTGTACATACACAACCAACCAAATCTTTTTAGTAGCGGGACTAAAACAGCAGATCTGAAAGGAGCAGAAGAATCGTCTAAAAGAAACAACACAGCGCTGGCTGTTGTAAAGCTGCCATACTTGAATACAGAAAAGAACAGAAAGTAAGATTTAGTGACAGAATGAGTACAGAGGCAAGAGAGAGAGGCTTGAATTATTAATGGGTGGATTGCAGGGACAGTGGGTGGAGGTGGAGAAGGAATGAATGTCAGCTGGAGAAATGTGATAAGATGGCCTCTGGGCTTGACTGCTGCTCCCCTGAGAGCAACACCTAGAGGTTTGGAGGTGTGTGTGTGTGTGTGTGTGTGTGTGTGTGTGTGTTAGCTGTTATTCTGTAGACTTCATTCCTAATAGGTGGCGTTTAAACATCTCAGCAAAGAGTGCAATAGTGACATGAAGCTGCTAATTGGTTGTGACATAACTGATCTTAAACTATCCGTGCTTCAAACGCTCAAATACAGGTGTGATCCGGCACGTTGGAGATGCATTAAAAGACCACGCCTCCAAATCCAGAGGGAAGATCTGCACCATTGGCATCGCTCCGTGGGGAATTGTGGAAAATCAAGAGGATCTTGTTGGTAAAGATGTAAGTGTCAGAGAGGAACTGTCAAGGTTAATAGTCTCAGAGTGGCCACTTCCAAGCTTGGGACCTCATTTACGTATAAACCGTCACATGCCAGTCAACACTGTGCAGGAATTTATTAGGATTTCTATTGCTCCGGTGGCCAATCAGGAATTTGCCTCAGGGTGTCAGCTTATTAACTGATACGCTGAGTTAGCCAATCCAGTCTGAGATAAGCACTCCTTCACGGTGAGTTGGACAGCTGGTGGAACCTCATTAGACTATCGAGCTCCTGCTGACTCATTCAAATCTCTGGGAGCCACTGTTATGTTTTTGGTGAAATTTCATCAGAATGTGCAGAGCTCTGTCCCAACGAACAAGTCAAGCACAGCCGATTAATGTCAGGAACTCAAATGAGATGATGAACTGCTGGGGGAATGTAAACCCAAAACTACAGCAGAAGCAACTCATAACCATTCATTGCACCCCGGGGCTCCTGCTGTGATTTCATTAAGTTTCTACCATGCAATGTAAAACTAATGGTAAGGTAAGTGTTTATAAAATAGTTGTTACATGAACCACTGTAAAATCACTGATTTATTTGGGATTGGAGAAGGTTCAATATGGTGGGAGTCCACTTTAGCCACAGCCCTGCTAAGGCTAGCCCATCGGTCTTGCCAGAAAACTGAGATCATTTGAAGAACTAGCTACCACCAGTAAGAGAAGACAACAGGTGACAATGACACCTTCTGAAGAACACTAGCATATGCTCATGACTCTTCATAACAAACTACATTATGCATCATACTCACAAACCTCTGTCACTTTGCCTTTTCTTCTAATTGTTCTTTTAATCTGTTCTTTGACCAGGTGGTGCGTCCATACCAGACCATGTCCAACCCCCTGAGCAAGTTGACAGTTCTTAACAGCCTCCACTCTCACTTCATCCTGGCAGACAACGGCACCACGGGCAAATATGGAGCTGAGGTCCGACTGCGACGGCAGCTGGAGAAACACATCTCCCTCCAGAAAATCAACACACGTGAGTTGAGTTTACACCACCAGTCTGATGGGAGTTATCACCAAACCGACCCTCTAAAAGCTGCGTTTTATTGAATTCATGTGTCAACACAATGAGGCATTAATTGTTATTTTTGCATATTTTTTTATTAGTATCTGTTTTATCCAGATCACACAATGTGTTTGGCTCTGGGGCAGAGCTTGACCAGCCTTTGAAATTTCAAATTGTCCCTCCCTTCACGGAAAGTTTATTTTTTCTTTCAACGCTTTCTGACAGCTCTGATGCATCCCCCCAAAATAAAGCAGCTTGATAATTACTGATTTCTAGTTTGGACTTGTCTGCTGTGACCAAATCTGCTAAAATAAACTGGGCCAGACAGATGAAACTTGATCACAAACCAGTCATTCACAGTGGAAACAGCTAATAAACACCAAGAAGCATAAGCTACGGTTTATCTTGTAGTGTTTGTTGTTACTTCAAAGACACAAAGATGCAGGTTAAGCAGCTTCTTGAAGATCCTGTCCAGAATCTGAACATTTATTTTTACTGCTGTAATTTATTCCTCAATAATCTTTTCACTTTCTCTATGAAGTTTAAAAATCTTCCTTTTGGGTTTGAGAGAAAGGAGTTCACACACTTCACTGCCAGTGCTTGTTTAGGCGTGTGTGTGAGTGGAGAGCCTTGGTGTCATCAAGCAGGTTTAACCAAGTGTGCTGCCTCGAGTCAAAGTCCACTTGTTTTCACTGTCAGAACTCTGGCTGATGTTTGTTGACTGTGACATTATTAACCCTCCCACTGTCTTCATGGGTGACCCCCGCCAGGAAAGTTGACCATTGAGCAGGGTTGATGGTTTATTCCTTGAGGTCCACGTGAAAGGGGTGAGGAGTGAGCACCACCTCACCTCTGCCAAGTGGACCTCAAGGGATAAACCATCAATCCCGCTCAATGGTCAACTTTCCTGGCGGGGGTCACCCATGAAGACAGTGGGAGGGTTAAACATATGCCAGGAGCTTCCTGTGCTGCCTCCAAACACTTCAAGGGTGTAGGGATTATAATAGATTCGTGAAAGTGTTGTTTTTGGTCATTCCTCGCCCTAAGTCATGTGACTTGTAGACTTCCCTTTGTCATCCTATGCCTGGAGTCATGTAAAAGAGGCTGGGAAGGCAAAGGGACGCCCACTTGTCATACAAGCATCACATAAATTATTCCTTTTTGAAATTCAAGGTGAGTACCAGTTATTAAGGAAGTTTGCTATGAGAACAAGGTAACAGGTGGCGCCTACTGCTGACTTGTGACACGTATCACAGAGCTGTCCCCCACAGAGACTCTGTCACGATAACCTTCAACTGTTTCTGAAGTCGAACAGATATCCAACTTCATCTGTCGTCTCCTACTTTCAGCCAGAATGGATTCAAGTCATTTAACTTTTTTTTTTTTACCTTGGATACAATGACCAAACTACATTGATGGACAGTTCTACAGATTTTACTGTGATAAATAAGAAGAAAAACAAAGAATCAAATTAAAACATTTAAGGAATCTTGCATATATATATATATATATATATATATATATATATATATATATATATATATATATATATATATATATATATATCTCCATATTTTGCTAAAAAGTGACATCTTTAAACATTTTTTTTCTATTTTCTTGCAACAGTTGGTATAAACAGTCACATGACACACTGCACCTTGCTGTGCATGTGTTCATTTTTGTCATTTGGTGCTGTAGGGGAAGCAGACAAGGACCATTTCTTGATATGATTATCTGTGCATGGCCACTCGTGAGACTGCATCAGTTTCCCTCACACCAGGCCTCTTCTGACATCCAAGAGTGGCCTGAGGTGCTGTCACAAAAAGTTTCACAGAGAAAGTGAAAGGGGTGGAAGGTAGTTTAGCTCATGTAGCATGTAGTTTGTGGGCAGCTTCACAAGCTGACTTCTTTATGAACACAAACACAAGATGAAAAAAGCATCAAAGTTGCTCATGCTCTCCCCTCCATGGTATTTTGTGTGATGTCCAGGCAGAGCTGTTGCTAATCCTGCCACAAATGTGTAATTTTCATGAATCATCTAGCAACACGTGATACTCAGGGGGGGCCATGGCTGCAGAGAGATGTCCTCAAAACCAGGAATCAATCATGAAGAATCGAAGCTGTTTGCTCCGATTACACCTAAAAATAAAAGCAAATGTTTAAGGACACTAAAAGTTTTACTCAACCTCTTCCGCAGTCAAATTCCCTGCAGTTACTTCTGGTGATCCTGCACATTTCCGTCTGAAGTTACAGCAGCCCTGTTGGCATCAAATTCTTTGAAGCACAGTTGTGCAGCTTGTAAAGCATTTAAAGGCACATTTAGGCACAGAACATTTCCCCTCTGCATGCTTTCAGCAGTTCCTTTTTACTGGAAAATTAACAAATTATCAAAGGAATAGCTTAGAGAGGGTGCAAAATGTATGAAGTCAGTGCATTTACATGACAGATGGAAACTCCCCTCCTATGTACTTCTCTCCTTGTAAGCATGATGTGATCTAGATTTATAAAACACAAAGAAAAAAGACACAAGATGCAAATTCAACAAACCAAATGTATACAAAAATATTAGAAATACATACTAAAAACAAGAAATCTTGACAAATTTCTGATATTTTTCCAATGACCTGCTGCACAAATGCTTTCTGTCATCTAGAACTGATGCTAGTCACACATAAGACTCACAGACAGAATCAGGGATGGAAGTGAGAAAGCGATGAAAGGAAAAGGGATTCAACGTGTGAAAACAATGACAAAAAACTACAATGTGAAAGCAATTGTAAGGAAGATGAAGACACTGAGGAGTAAAAAAATCTTTTTAAGACAAAGAGAATACAGATTTGTGTTTGTGTCTTCTTAAGAAAACAAATAAAATCAAATATTCGGGACTACAGTTCACCTTTGGTGCACCCCTTTCCCCTTTTCATCAAAATCGCACACATGTGGGCACAGGCATGTGATCAAGTGACCTTCACCGACCCTCCTTTCTGTTGCTGTAGTGTTCATTAATCAGAGTACCTACAGGAAGTAGCTTTGGTAATTGAATCTAGAAGCCGCAAGGCCTTGCATTGCAGATTTACTTTGACATGTTGACCTTCACTGTGGAGCTGCTCTTACATGAGAAACAATAGCTGAGATGTAATATATAAAAAAAACTAATAGTTGAACTTCTGTTGTTTTAAGAACTGCAAATGCCCAAAGAAACTGTTGATTTAGTGGATATTATTTATTTTTTTGAGATGGTTATTATGCTGCAGCTATGTCATTTGTGGTGACAAGCCTTCTGAGATTTACTCTCAGGTGGAGCATCAAAGCTGCTGCTTTAATGTCATGCCTGATACTTAAAACTTTATTGTTATTGTTTTTGGGATGCTTTATAATTCTGACCATACACGGAGACAGAGGTGAAAGAGGAAGGAAGAGACAAAATGAAGGGGGGATGTCAATGATGAACAAGAGTCTGCTTCCAGACCTGGAAAAAGAGAAAAAATCAAGCAAACAAACAAAAGCAAAAAAGGGACACTCAACAATACAACAAGAGCAAGCTATCACTGCGTAAACCTGATGAGGAAAAATAAAATCAACCTTGTTTTACTGAACAACCACAGGATAATAAATCACAGTGCATTTAGTGCCAACCACAGCCTTAAGACATGTGTTGAAAATGCCCAAGTCCATACTTATGAGAGCACCATATGAGCACCTGTGTGTGAACACGCACTTGTATGTGTAAGGTTTTTCAATAGGAGCGTCCAATAGAGAGTGTGAGGGGAGACAGATCTGCCCCCCAAAGCTGTGTAGGAGATGGAGGGAGCTCCAAGTCCCAGAGATCCAGGAGCTGCCCCAGAGTGCAGGGACCCCAGGGAGACTGTAACCAGAAAAGCCCCAGCCCCCTCTCAAGAGGCACAAAGGATTGCCCTTGGGGGTCACAACCAGCAGCTGGCAGAATCCCTGGAGATATCCGCGGCAAGCCCACAGGCCCGCCCGCAGCCTCCCACCCCCAAGCTGGCCGAGCCTGGAACCCAGTGACCCGGTACCCAGGGGTGAACAACCCCGCCAAGGACCCAACAGAGCCCAGGGACTCAGATCCCACAAGGTTGCCATCGGGATTAATCAGGCAGATGGCAAAAACCTTAAACCCCCTGACCCGGGAGCCACAAACACTCAGGCAGACCAAGGCACCACACTCCACACCAAATGTGGCAGGGGGAGGACAAGCAAAGATGTGTAGCAGCACAAGAAGTCCCAGGAGAGGGGAGGAGTCCAACAAACATCCCCAACAAAATGGCCTTTGAAAAATATGAAGACTTGCAGATGAAGCAGAATGGAAGGAAAAGAAAACAACCATCTTTCATGCTGCTTTAAAATATCCATTTCTGCAGTGGGAATCCCCCACCACGGCATTATCTGCGCCACCTTTTACATCTCACAGCTGCTCTTGTCATTCCCAAACTGATAAAATTATGGCGAACTTTGACAAAATACAACTTTTAGGTATCAGATGATATTTTAAGCATTTATATACAGTAATGTAAGTGAATATGTTTTGTGCTTGGGCGCCTTTTGTCGCTGATCAGTGACATCACTCACTGCCAAAACAGACACGATTCTGTAAGGTGATGCTGAGAGGACCAAGCCACCCCATCTTTCCTCTTCCTAAAATGTCTCCAAACTCCTATAGTGGAAACACAACTATGGATTTGTGTCATTGTTTTATTTGTGTGTGTTTTTTCCTATAGCTAATGTCTGAAGATAAAACGAACGCACACAGTGAGAGAACAAATGGAGCCATTTAGGTGGGCAAAGAATGTTCATACATGCATAGATGGATGTAAAAATCATGTCAGAAATGATTAACATGAGCTGCCAGAGACAGTGCTCAATGTGGACGAGAGATAACAGAGTCTGTTGGTTGGACAGAATTCCTGCTCCAGCTAAAGCTCCAGGATGACGATCTGCATGGGTGACGACAT